TCAAGTAACACTTAAACGTACACTTGGAGCTTTAAGAGAAAGTTCTTGAAGGGCATTCCTCTTTCAGTTGGGTTTACAACTCATCTGCAACACTAAATGCAGATAAAATAAAGATCACACCTTGTTAAGGGTTTGCACATAAATGCCCCTTGCATACGTAGCCAATATCTTGTCCAGAGAGTAATGGTAAAGAAACTGTTCTCCTTCAGCCTTTTTCTTCTCCCATTTCCTCTAAAGGTCTTCATCCCAATGTCTCGGTGCTCCATCGGTGAGTGTGAGGCAGGGCTGCCTCCGTGCTGGAGATGCCTGTCACAGAGAAGGTCGGAATGTGCGCAGATAACCCTGCCTTATGCTCATCTCATCAGCTGATGTAGGTCCGATACCTTTTCTTTGAGTACAGAGGTTTCACTAAATTTTTTTTTCTTTCCTGCATAAAGCACATCTATAAGGGGTCACCTATGATTTCTAGTTTCAGATTCTTTGAAGTGGAACCAAAAAACTTACAGTCATTTGCAAAGCAATTTTAGTATTTTTCAAGATTTTTCCCAATTTTTACAGTTAAAAAAAATTTTTTTTAACCTAGTACTAATTTAAACAAGAGTTAAATCACCATCTTCAATAAGTCTAAGGTGTATAACCTAGTTTTAAAGAAACAATCCTCTTTTCCTACTCATACAATTGGCATAAATAGTTTGGAATCACATATAAATAACTCTTAGGTAAGCAAAAAATTCAACCTGTGAGGCATCCTAGCCGCTAGCTGTCTGCATGTCATAGTGTGGCCAGCAGCCGCTATGTTTTATAGAGGGAATAAAGAGCATCAGTTAATTTGGCATGTTGACTAGTGGAAATCAGTTAAGAGAGTGTCTACTTTATTTTTAAAGCTTGTCTTCCCCTAGAAGAGATAAAAAGTTGAGCCAAAGTAAAATAAGCCCCCTGGAGGAGATGCTAAGGTTAAAAGCTAGCACTGCTACCAAGGGCTAAACCTTGTACAGAGTGTAGACCTAAGGCAGTAGTACATCTGCTTGATCAGATGATGTCTTTAGATCTAATTCAGTACCTCTTAACTTTCTCCACAGGAAGCAGCAAAACAAAAATAAAAATTCAGCACCGATGAAGCCTCAATCCATAAAAGCTTACTAACAGCTTGTTTTTTGCTGGCTGTATTCAGATGGAGTGTTCAGATGTTAGAGATCTTCCTTTCAGGTGGGAGCATTATGGGAAAGAGTACATCATGCCATTTCTAACTCTCATCTACTATGACTTACACATAGGGGTCTTTTCCTTTTCTTAGGTATCTGCTAAAGAGTACTTAATTCAGTTTGACTATGCAGGTGGGATAACAATAACTGAAATAAATTAAAATCTGTCTATAAATTATTTAAGTAATCCCAGGAGTCATTCCCCAAAAACCAGCAAGTGGTGAAGCCATATTTGTATTAGAAATGAAAGAATTGCTAAGGAGAAATTTAAAAGGTATGGATTACTCAAAACAAATGAGAACTCAACAATTTACTCTTTAATCTATTAAACTAAAGTTAACCACCCAAGCCACTAAAACCCTTATAATAGTAACATAATATTTGCCAAAGTTGTTGCAAATTGATGTGCTACTTCTAGCTTTCCACCAAAACAATGATTGCCAGATAACTGTCACAACTTCTAAAGAAATTATTTCCTTCTAGTATTCTGCTTCAAAAAATTATCTAAGGAAATGTAAAAAGCAGCTATGATCTAAGCATCCCAAAAGGAGAAATATGCAAAACTGAAATGAAGATGAATACCAAGGGAAATGTTCTAAGATCTCTTCATAAAAAGTCATAATATTCTTCCTAATAGTAATAAAAAATATTAGGTGAATAAAAGTTTACAAAGAAGTGAAGCTCAAATAGTCAATAAACTCTGGGGAAAAGAGCAAGCGACCACGGAGAAAACTACTTACTTAGTTAATAGGAACATTACAGCCAGAGGTACCTGGTGTAGAATAGTAATAGTACAAATAAACACGCCACTTAAAAGTAAATATTATGAGGCTGGAAATTTAATAATTATGGAAAACTTTAAGAAGAAATTTTATAACCAGCAGTAATGAGAAATATTGGGAATAGCAGAATTTACAGCCTAATTTTGACAAGGAGGAAGAATAACTTAAAAGAGAGGGTCAACATTACAAGGACTCTTCACAGAAAACATTCCAATTTTTCTCTACTAAAAGAATTTCTTGTATCAGAATATTTCTTAGGGTATGCAGTTTATTAAATACAACTATAACTGATATGTAAGTATTTAAGATAAATATTCTCCTTTATCAATGATATTTAAAGATGTTCTGATGTTGACTGGGTTTTTTAAGAATGACCCAATGAGGAACAGTGTATCCTATAGAGGGCATCAGTTTCCTTCTCCAAGTGAATGTCCTTTGTAGCATGGTTTCTTTAAATCAGACCCTGTTAAAAGGGTGCCCTCCTTGCGTTAAAACAGAACAATCATCCCAAAATATGTGGCTTTTTAATAAAATCACTTAACACACTGAATGACAAATTAGTTTGAACTTGTTTTATAAAGAGAGCCAAATTACCAGGTCTTAAAGCAGAATTATGTGGGTCATGCATGGTAGCATGTTAAAGTCAGACAGATGGCCTCTACTAGCACAAAATGATTTTGAAAAACTCATATAAAATCATTAGTGTAAAATTACAAATAAACATCATAAAGAATTTATAGTAAATTTTGCCTTAAAAAAACACCATTTTTCATCTAGACAGTAGTAATAGCTGTCTTTCAATTCCACACTTATTTCCAGAACTCACCCATCACTCATACTCTTCAATTCTCCATTTGAAACACAGATCATGTCATTAATCTCCAATGACTTCCTATCACACTTAAATTGCTATTTCTCTTGATCCCATAGTCTATCACTTTTTCCCCTCCTCATCATAAACACTATTAGTCTTCTTTTACATCCTTAAACACACCAACCTCGTTCCTTGTCCTAAGGCTTTTGCGCTTTTTAGTCCCTCTGACTGGAATGGTTGGCCCTGAGATTTTTACTAAGTGGTTCCATGTGATTCAGGTCTCAACCCAAACATCACATCAAAGGTGATTTCCCTAACTACTTAGAGTAGTCCTCTCAGCTGTTCTCTATCACCCTGTTTTTATGTCACCTAAATGACTGAAGTTATCTATTTTCTAATTTGGGTACTTTGTTTATTGTTACTACAATATCAGCTCCAAGAGAATAGAGAACTTGTCTTATTTACCACAGAACTTCCAGTGCCTAGCACAACGTACAGTGTCAAAAAACATGACTGAATAAGTCAATTACTTTAGCTAGAATTTTCCCAAACCATAAGCTCTAGTCTCTGACCAGGAGTATATTCATATAAATTTGTAGCAGGATAATGTTTGTAAAGTTTTATGAATAGGATGAAACTGAGTGCTTTCCACAGGTACAATAATCAGTTACTTTGGGTTACACAAATCAGGTTTGATGGAGGAGCTGAGCTTGGCATATTCGTGGTTTTACAGCTATGAGACCTGAGGTCAGAAAGTAAAATATAAGAATAAACTTTACTAATGAAAAAATACACAAACAAAAAAAATTAAAGTCAAAGGAAATCCAAAGAACAGCTTAAATCTTAAAGCCCATATAGGACTATTAACAACTGTCATAACTTCTTAGAATTTGTTTTTTACTTCTTGTCTATTTATTTGCATGTAGCACCTAGCACCCTGCCTGGCATACAGCAAGTACTCTAAAAATGTTTAATGGATCATAAAATCCTCAGTATATAATTACAATTTAACAGATATAAACTAGAACTTATATTTTGTTTTGAAACAGGAAATTTTAAAAAATTTTTATATTAGATTCATTCTTCACCTTGTAAGCAAAGTCTTTCTTTCCTACTGAAGGAAATTCTCAATATAGCTCTCTGTTACATTTCACCTGGTTATATACATTATCTCCACACGGGACAATGACCTCAGGTGTTTACAGATCTGAGCAACCTTTTCCCATTTTACAAAGATGCTACATATGGAAGGGAAATATCAGCAGAGTCATCTATAAACAGCACAATTATTCTATTTCTATTTCTGTAGGTACATGAAAATAGCAAATATCAATACTGAGATGTGGAACAAAAGAAATTATGCATGTTTAAATTCCATGCTGCACACTGTCCATTATCCATCTGTACTAACTCCTTCCTATTCTTATGACTTTTTAGATAATTAAAAAAGAAAAATGTTTAAGTCCCCTTTCCATAAATTTAAGGTGTTATCAACATCCTTGACAGGCAACAAGCATATTTAGCTTTTTTACATTCCTTTTTCAAATGTAACATATCACATGGAAAGCAGGGGTTAGTAATAATCATGTTCTAGCGTATGGTCAATCTGTCTTTGAAATTCAGCTCCACACCCAGAGAATAAGTGACAGTAGAATACTGAGGGGCTGCTTAAGTCAGGCTGATATGGGATAATCATGAACAAAGTAATGAGGTAAAAGAGCTGTAACAACAACATATAGAAAATACAATCTACTATTTTCAAAATCACAGTACAACAGGAGACAGAAGCTTTAATGGTGAAAGACTCATCTAAAACTAAAAGTTAATGGACATTTTAGATAGTACTATAGTAAAAGGGGTGTCTAAATCTGTATTATTGATGGTTAGACACAGGTCTACTGTTAACAGAGTAGTAAGTGTAGAGATAGTATTGAGGCAATATTGAGGCAACATAATAGAAATAACACACATTCTAACTTCTATTTACTGAATGTGTCACCTTGGCAAATCACTATTCTTTCTGGATTCTTAAGCTTCCTCATTTGTGAAAAATGAAGGTAATAATGTTGCCTTTGGTAATTGTATCTCATAATGTTATAGTGAGGCCTCAATGGGATAAGGAATATGAAATCATCTTAAAAAGTATAAAACCCTATATAAATAGAATACATAAATACTGTGGGGGGGAAAAGTTAAATTTACCTTTATATGCTCTAAAACAGCAGTGGCAACATTTGTATGGAGATCAATAAGTCTTTTTTTTTCAAGGAGTTCTGGCAAAGAACTACAAGTATCAAAAAATTGAAAATTAACCATTCAATTTTCTAAGAAAATGACACAGACCTTAATAAAACACACACCTGGGTGTTTCCTCTGAGGAAACTTAGAATAGTAAAAAAAAGTGACAAGATGACAAGTTAAACTGTCTATCAACTGAATTTAATCTCTAAGCTTTACCATACACAGGATTCACTACTTTAATATGGGTGAAATGCTTCTTGGTTTAAAGTGATCTGTCTCTTAAATATCATTATTTCACCATTTCACTTTCTGATTCCAAAATCTGGAGGTTTAGAATATAGTCAGATTAATGGAAATACAATTTTACCTATATATCTAAAACACATTTCCTCTCTTCTTGATGGCATTTCATAAGTATCAGAAAGAAATTGCACTTAACATTTAGTTAATAAAATAATAGCAGCAATGATAAAATTAATAATAACTTGCATTATTTTATCACCAATACTATCTTCTCGGTAAAAATATCCCTATTATACAATTCTAACTAGTGAAAGAAGCAAATGATTTGTTATATGAAAAAGGGAATTTAAATCAGCTGGAACACATTAAAAACACAATTTAGTTTTTCCAAGGTCTATGCTATTACCTACTATTTCTTATTATAAAAATATTAGCCAAGTTTTTAATGTTCAAAATAAATCTTATCAACAGAAAGACTTAAAGAGCATATACTGCTTACTTACCTAACAGCTGATGTAAGCTTAGCAGTATTGTCAGAAAGCATACTTATGGCTCCTTCATCTTCCCCTTCTAGTCCCTGAGGAGGAAAAAAAGATCTCAGAAGCATAAAAATCAATATATTCCTAAGATCAGTGATAAACACTAAGATTTAAGTCACTCAGAGTAACAGTTCTTCTCCTCTAAGGAACAAACATATCCATTTTTGACAGTTACAGAAAAGTTCTGGTCACCACCAGTCTAATAAGTTGGATGATGAAGGACCAGCAAGTATTTTCAGATAAAGGAATAGGTACAGAGACTTGCCACAGGTCATGTAGTAATAAATAGTAGAGCTGAACTCTGGGATTAGGTCAAAGTGTAGTAGAATGAGCAGTACTGGAAAATATATCTCTAAAATGAAGCCACATTATATATTTTTTCAGACTGTAAGTTCAGATGATTATTTTAAAACACTTTGCTCTTCTCATTCAGGTTTCTTTTTGACAAAGATCTTTTATGTAAGTTGAGAATACTCTTCTTATTAAAACAATGAATGGTTTCAAATTTTCATGAGAAAAAAAAAAGTTAATCTCTTTCTCTCTCCAGATGTCCTGCTTCCCTGTAATTCTAAGAAAGCAAAGGAAATCTTACCATAATGCTTTTAAGTCGTTTAACCTCATCTTCCTGTGTTCTGTAAGATTCTAGTTCTTGCTGAACTGACTCTGCAACTTCTGGGAATGGACTGAAACAGTATTGAATAAAAGGAACTATGAGTATGACATTAAAATGTTGATTTTGTGTGAATTCTGAAATATACTCAATGAGGATTTATTTTTATTTTAAATGTACCTATTTGAATTTGAATATATTTAACATATGATATAGCATAAATTTAGCATAAATATAACTATGTATCCTTGGATATCTATTTATATTATAAATACTATTTCTTTAAAATGCGTATCATAATTCTTATACACCTAAGCAAATTTAAATTTATTTCTATTATTTTCATTAACCATATCACATTTTTCTTCACATATACACTGTTAGAAAAAAAAAGTAAAATATTTAAGTGACTGAAAAACAAAGAAGAGAAGGTATGGTATATGAAACATCAATTAAATATTACCACCCAAATTAACACAGAGGGTCAGATGGTTCATATAATTACAAAGATGGCATTTAAAAAATATTTCATGCAAGTAATTGTGGAAAAAAAATTTTTAATTCTGTAAGCTTAATATCTTAGAACATTGCTAGTAAAAATAGAACATAGGTCACAGTTTTGTTGGTCTAAAGCCTGATGTCTTCTTCCAGGCAAGTGTGGCTTAGCAGTAATTTCCATAGACTTCAGACACAAGTGATCTGCAATCATTGAGAAGCTTTGATAGAAAAAATTTCACATGGCACTAATATTGAATAATTCTAAGTAAGTGTATGTTGACCATAAAAGGGTTCCTAATGTAAGTATTTTTCATTTACAGCTTTAGAGGAGGCCAGAAGCTTTTCTTCCTTTAAGAAAGAAAAGGTCATGTTTGAGCAGCAATGAAACAAAAACCCTTTGCCCTGACATTTGATAGCACTTCATTAATGATCAGCACATTTCATCCAGTAGACACTGAGAGAAATGACAGAAGACCCTGAGAGGATTTTGAAGACCACGGTCCAGTTTTATATGACAACCATAGGTGCTAACCTCAGCTTCAAGAGACTCTATGCTGGCAGAACATAGCACTGAGCATATTAAAATGTGCTGGTTGAACTAGATGATCCTGAAATCTCCAGTATTTTCAGATCTCAGAGCTAACAGACATCATTAACTGCTTACATTTATGGAGTGTTTACTGTATGCCAAACACAAAGTACGAAGAATGTGTCTCTATTCTCTCATATAATCTAACCACAATCTTGGTGAGGTACACTGTATTAATAATTAGGACCAGGGCCTTTTGGGATCTTCCAGGACTGGGCTTTATTCTTGCTTTTATCAATGACAACTGGATGACTCTGGGTAAGTTACTTCTTTATATTATTTCACTTCATCTTCATAAAAACCTTCTGAAATAGGGCAACAGGTAGAATTATCATACCTACGTTTTACTGATGTGGAAACTGAAGCTCAGAGAGATTTAAGTTACTTGTTTTACTCTATACTATCTGCCAGTGTCTTTGTGCCCTTATTGCTATTACTATATTTCTAGAATATCGTAGTATGACATTCAGAGGGAGAGTTATTCAGGGCTATTCTTACAAACAAAAAATTAAAGTTCTTACTATTCAACTGACTTCTTGGATTGTTCCTAAATATATAAAGAAAATATTCAAATCTTCCATAAATGAAAAAAAAAATTTTTAAAGATTTTATTTATTTATTTGACAGAGAGAGAGAGACAGCAAGAGAGGGAACACAAGCAGGGGGAGTGGGAGAGGGAGAAGCAGGCTTCCCGCAGAGCATGGAGGCTCTATCCCAGGACCCTGGGATCATGACCTGAGCCAAAGGCAGACGCTTAATGAATTAGTCACCCAGGCACCCCGAGATTTTTTTCTTAAGCTTTTTTCTACTAGAAAATATAAATCCTAAGATTAATTTTAAAATATCCTGCATCCTTTAGAAATAATGTAAATGTAATTTCTTGTCCCTTGCCACTATGGCAAAAAGCATAGACTGGAATTCCAAAGAGAAGAAAATTATTTAAAATAAATTATAACAGTACCCAAATTGCCAGTCAGAAAGAGGAGGACAGGGACTTTTCTCTGCAGAGAAAATAAAATTCCTTGTTATAAGCAATGTGATTTTGCAATGTTAAAAAAATAAGTTAATAAATAAAAAGATAAAACACACAAAAAACCCAGCTGGTTGAATCAAGTCTTATCTTACTTCTGTTTAAACATAAATGAGGTCAAAAAGAACAGCCATATCAGGACTTGGTCACATATATAGGTACAGTAATACTTGAAATACTCAAAATAATAATAACATTTTATTTCATAAGTGTTGAGGAGCAGCATTCTTTTTCTCTCAGAAAAATGATTTTTTTTTTTTTTTTTTTTTGTTTAGAATGATTTCTCTAGCCATAATGACCACTAGATAACTATTTTAACAATTACTGAGCCCATGAAATACCCTAAACTTTAAGGGACATAGCAATGGGATCTGTATATCTGCCTATAAGAAATCACACAACTAATTATTCTTCTAATGTGCTTTAAATAAACGTTTTTCAGGTTTAGGTATTCTCTTCTCCGCAGAGATCTAAAACTGTGTTTGTATGAAGACAAACATGGAACAAAGAGGGAAGATTACATTTCAATGTTTCTCTATCACAAAAACCTATTTTAATGAAAGGCAGAAATGGTCTTGCAGAAGGTCAGTGGGGACAACAACACAATTTAGAAAGACTACCTGTAAAATCTACAAAATCATATGGTATGAGCTTACTGAAAAGGGAAGAGGCCCCTGAAAAACAAGAAACAACCTAGGAACCGGGAAGAAATAGATATATTCCTATAGACTAATTATAGCTCCTACTCATTGTGTAGAAGAACGACCATGATCTTTTTGATTTTTTTCATCAAATTCATTAAGTCAGATGACATCTTCATTTCCTTATAAGGGGTGAATCTTTAACTTACTGATGTTTTTCTTACTTACCTTCCTTTATGTTTCTGCCAAAATTTATCAACTGGAGTTAAATCATAAGACTTCTTGTTTTTTCTCTTTGGTCTAGCACCAGCTGGAGAATTTTCTACTCCTAAAGATTCTTCCAAATTAACTCTGTTTAAGTGGAAATCCTAGGAAAAAGTAATCCTTTTTTAAGTAACAGTTCAAGAACTATAACATTTTCTACAACAAGGAAAATAACACAGATTCTTAATGCCTTTTCTAATAATTCTAAGGACAAAATTCACATCCGAAATTTAAAGATCTCCTTCCAATGTTTTGTTACACACAAATGTACCTGTAATATTTATGTATTTTAATTAAAGTAGTAGATGCAAATGATTAAAACTTCAAAAAATACATAAAAATCATGTTAAGGTTCTTGTGTATCCCTCTAGAAAAATATTTTTGCATATGCCAGCATACACATATCCTTTTATTTTATTTTTTTAAGATTTTATTTATTTGACAGAGAGAGAGACAGCGAGAGAGGGAACACAAGCAGGGGGAGTGGGAGAGGGAGAAGCAGGCTTCCCGCGGAGCAGGGAGCCCAATGCGGGGCTCGATCCCAGGACCCTGGGATCATGACCTGAGCCGAAGGCAGATGCTTAACGACTGGGCCACCCAGGCGCCCCCCACACATATCCTTTTAAAGAACTGCATTACATTATATGTTTTTTGTACCTTACTTTTCTCAAGTAATAATGTATTTTATTATTATTTTTTAAGATTTTATTTAATTATTTGCCAGAGAGAGAGAGAGAGAGAGAAAGCACAAGCAGGGGGAGCAGCAGGCAGAGGGAGAGGGAGAGGCAGACTCCCTGCTGAGCAGGGAGCTGGACCTGGGACTCGATCCCCGGACCCTGGGATCATGACCTGAGCCAAAGGCAGCCGCTTAACTGACTGAGCCACCCAGGTATCCCCTCATGTAATAATGTATTTTAGAGTTCTTTCTCTAACTGTATATGTACATCTACCTCATCTTTATCATTGTTATATAGTAGTCCAACATTTATTTAACCAGGCCTCTTGATGCTTACTTGCTTCCAGTAACAAACATAATCTTAAACATAATATTTATTTTTATTTTTTTAGAGGGAGAGAGAGAGAAAAAGAAACAGGGAGAGAGGGGGAAGGAGGCAAGGAGGGGACAGAGGGACAATCTTAGGCAGGCTCCATGCCCAGTGTGAAGCCCAATGCAGGGCTCGATCTCACAACCTGAGATCATGACCTGAGCCAAAATCAAGAGTAGGACACTTAACTGACTGAACCACCCAAGTGTCCCTTAAATATAATTTTTAAACTCTTAGAGAGTCTTAACATTCTGATCTGTTGATCGATGGTTTGTATTTTTTAAAAATAATTATAACAGAAGCTACAATAATAATAGCACTCCCTTTTACATAAATTCTAAGAGCTAAGTTGGACCATTATATAGTTATAAACTTTTCTGCCCCACTCATGTGAGGCTTGATTTTTTTTGTCCTTTCTCAGAAAAATGAACACACAAAAACCAAAATAAAATTTTTTTTTTTTTTTTTTTTTATCTTTCCCCCTTCCTTTTTGCCTTAGACCTGGGGGGTTCCTTCATGTAATAACAGTGTTTTATGGTTCAACTCTACTCTGAAGAATAGTGAGCTAAAGACAAAATATGGCTATAGGGACGCCTGGGTGGCTCAGATGGCTAAGCGTCGGACTCTCAGTTTCCACTCAGGTCACGATCTCATGGTCCTGGGATCGAGCACAACGTCCGGCTGAGCTCAGCAGGGACTCTGCTCAAAGATTCTCTTCCTCTGCCTCTCTCCCCATTCGCACATGCTCTCTCTAAAATAAATAAATAAATCTTTAAAATAATAAATACACAAAGGAAACAGTCAACAAAACAAAGAGGCAACCCACAGAATGGGAGAAGATATTTGCAAATGACAGTACAGACAAAGGGCTGGTATCCAAAATCTATAAAGAACTTCTCAAACTCAACACCCAAAAAACAAATAATCAAATCAAAAAGTGGGCAGAAGATATGAAAAGACACTTCTCTTTAGAAGACATACAAACGGCTAACAGACACATGAAAAAATGTTCATCATCATTAGCCATCAGGGAAATTCAAATCAAAACCACATTGAGATACCACCTTACACCAGTTAGAATGGCAAAAATGGACAGGGCAAGAAACAACAAATGTTGGAGAAGTTGTGGAGAAAGGGGAACCCTCTTACACTGTTCGTGGGAATGCAAGTTGGTACAGCCACTTTGGAAAACTGTGTGGAGGGTCCTCAAAAATTTAAAAATAGAGCTATCCTATGACCCAGCAATTGCACTCCTGGGTGTTTACCCCAAAGACACAGATATAGTGAAAAGAAGGGCCATATGCACCCCAATGTTCATAGCAGCAACGTCCACAATAGCCAAACTGTGGAAAGAGCCGAGATGCCCTTCAACAGATGAATGGATAAAGAAGATGTGGTCCATATATACAATGGAATATTACTCAGCCATCAGAAAGGATGAATACCCAACTTCTACATCAACATGGATGGAACTGGAGGAGATTATGCTAAGTGAAATAAGTCAAGCAGAGAAAGTCAATTATCATATGGTGTCACTTATTTGTGGAACATAAGGAATAGCATGGAGGACATTAGGAGAAGGAAGGGAAAAATGGGGGGTGGTAACTGGAGGGAGAGATGGATGAACCATGAGAGACTATGGACTCCGAGAAACAAACAGGGTTTTAGAGGGGAGGGGGGAGGGGGGATTGGTTAGCCCGGTGATGGGTATTAAGGAGGGCACGTACTGCATGGAGCACTGGGTGTTATACGAAAACAATGGATCGTGGATCACCACATCAAAAACTAATGATGTATAGGAGGATGGGTTAGCCTGGTGATGGGTATTAAAGAGGGCACGTTCTGCATGGAGCACTGGGTGTTATGCACAAACAATGAATCATGGAACACTACATCAAAAACTAATGATGTAATGTATGGTGATTAACATAACAATAAAAACTAAAAAAAAACTAATGATGTATTATTGTATGGTGACTAACATAACATAATAAAATTTAAAAAAATGATAAAAATTAAAAAAATAATAAATACAAAAATAGTAAAGACAAAATATGGCTATCAATAAGTGAGTGAATGATGAACAAAAAATAAATTATGTGGAGAAATTATCTAGCATGGCTATATTACTATCATCTTAGTTCTAAGATATGTTCTTAATTAATAATTAAACTTCTAGGTTTTAGCAGATTAAATGTACTGAATACAATTTAATCTCCTCTTGATATAACTAGGTCAACAATACTGAGTCTAATACATTAGACCATACCCTGCAACTTTCTCAAACCCTTTATACAGTAATTTACTTCCTTGTTATTTTCCCCTATGGCACAAAAAACAAGAATGCAAAATATACAGATGTCCAGTTGCCATAGTTGATTAATAAGTCTATTGAAAAAGAGTATACAATGTTATATTTCAGCCTGCTAATACTATGTCTTTCCTATAGACTCTTCATATCCTCACAGGATAAATACATCAGTAACCTTACTTAATTCCTCTTACTTTCCCATCCCCAAACTGTTAAAAACAGTTTATATAACAAATCATCCAAATAGGAAGAAAACACAATAAATAGATATTAACAGCTAAATCTGAGAAGAACTCTTGCTTTAAAAATTAACAAAAGATACTGATAGTTAAATAGTTATGCCTTATTAACTAGAATTTTTTTTTTTTAAGATTTTATTTATTTATTTGACAGAGAGAGAGACAGCGAGAGAGAGAACACAAGCAGGGGGAGTGGGAGAGGGAGAAGCAGGCTCTCTGCTGAGCAGGGAGCCCGATGTGGGGCTCGATCCCAGGACCCTGTGATCATGACCTGAGCCGAAGGCAGACGCTTAACGACTGAGCCACCCAGGCGCCCCGTGTGCTCTTATTTTTCAACCAGTAATTTCGTTAACAAGTTACTTTATTTTGAATGAGCTGTATCATCACCATGGAAATAGTACTTTACTAGAAATTCTAGTTAAGGGGCACCTGGGTGGTTCAGTCAGCCCGCATCGGGCTCCCTGCTCAGCGGGGAGCCTGCTTCTCCCTATGCCTGCTGCTCCCCCTGCTTGTGCTCTCTTTCTCTGTCAAACAAATAAATAAAATCTTAAAAAAAAAAAAAAGAAGAAAAAGAAGAGCATATACTATTACTGAAGTACTGATGGAATACTTAAAAGGAAACATAAAATGATAAAGGAATAAAAAATGGTAAGAATTTTGAGAAATAACAATAGTGGCAAGAATACTTCCATTGTTTGCTTAACAGCCAGGCAAATAAGGAAAATTTTAGTCTTGAAAATTGGGAAATTAGAACATTCTGTGCTGAACTTAATCATGTTGAAGAAAGTGAACATTTATCCACAAATAAAAGACAACAGAATTAGTTTCAACATGATAGAGTCTAACCTGTTCCTACTGATATTCATACTTTGACTTAGAAGACTGGACAATGGTGTCCCAAATCATGAGATAAAATAAATCCCATTGAGAAGAAAAACATGGATAAGTTTTCAGCAGTCTTAGTTTCCTTTTACAAGTTAAAGCAGACCAGTAAACCCAAACAGAGCTAATGTTAACAAAATTACACTTGGATGATAATAGGTGACACCCATTTATGCAGAGCTAAGATTTATATTCACATGAGGAAAAAAAGCATAAAAGTAACTTTTATTTTGGCAAACTGAGCCAAATCTAATCAAGTCTCTAGATCTATCAGTTTACAGAAATACTGGGGATAGAGAACCACATCAAATTGTGTACCACAAGAATACAATCAACCAAATGCAGAAATATAGGAAATTCTTTAGAAAACCAATCCAATTCCTTCCACCAAAAAAAAATGGCAATAAAAAAGGAGTGGAAAGAGAGGAATTGTTGTAAACTGACAAACTTAAAGATGTATCAACCAATGCAATGTATGGATACTGTTTGGATCCCTATTTGAACAAACCAACTGTAAAGATGTGTCTTTGAAACAACTAGGAAACACTGAATACAGAGATAGTAGCAGATATTACCAAAGAATAATTGTTAATTTTGTTAGGTATGATAATAAAATTATGGTACTT